ATTACAGTTACCACTGCAACAAATAATATACAGGTTCAAGTCAAGCCTAACCGAACTTTCCCATCAAACAATTGAATACATATGGCAGGGGTGGGCAAAATATTTTAGTATAAAGTCAGAAATATGTGAGAGCCGTATAATTTTTGAAATTATTAATATTAGAGCTCATCAAATCGCTTTGTGTAGTGCAACGCGCAATCGGCGTTGGGCTATCAATTGTTTCGTGCTGTTGGGAACCGAGACCGCGACAACTTCAGCAATATTTTTTTCTCCAACAAAATTACAGTAAGAGTATGGGTGTTCAGCGCGAGCAATATTTCATGATATAACAAAACTATTCAGTTGTTGCATCGGGTGGCTTGGCAAATGATATCATAAATTTCTGGTTATGCATCTGAAAACAAACAAGAGAGCTATGCTCAAATATATGGACACGTAGAGTCACATAATTTTGATGACGTCATAGCGAAAAAAAAAGTAATAGCCTTCTGGAGAAAATTTTTATCTTTAACCACTGAAAATTTCAAAGTAGGCCGCGAGCCGAGGCCATTTATCTTTCAGTTTCGTAGCGCACATCAGGTAACTACCTGAAAATGATTTTAAAATGTTCCTTAGAAATTTAGTAACAAATATTGCCTTGTTCCCACTTCCAAAAGTTGCACGTTTCACAGAAAAGACGCTTTTACTACAATAAATATGTGTTACCATCTGTCCTATTTTCTCTGCTTTTCCGGTATCATGGGCCAATGAACGCAGACTTCTGCACGACGTAACAGTCAAGTTAGTCAGCTGTAGGTGAATCCCCAGTGGTCGGATGAACATCAGATGTACTACAACTGCTCGCTTTTGCGTTGAGTAGCCTTTCCATAGTTTTTTTCAGTTACCGGTAATATTAGTTCAGTTATTCTAAGGAGGTGTTGAAAAGTATAGGTAAGATATTAAACACTTGTATATCCTTACCATAAATAGCAATATTAGTTGAGCACTAGCTCATAAGACGTTGTTAAATAGGTACGGAGCGGTACCGGTAACTCCAAGGAAGGCTAGACCTAGAATAATATGTCACAAACAACGATATTTTCTGGCTTGCATGAAATGTTTATGATTAATTTAAAGACTCTTCTTGACTATTCAGCAGACTTATACTACTATATAGGCCACAGCATATTTGGAAATAGAAATGAATGGCTGTTTCTGTAATGCACGATTGTGTGAAAGAGAAGAAATTATTCAATTTTACTAATGTCGGTTGGTCTAAATCTGAATTCATAGAGTCGACAAGAACCTGGGAAGCAATGATAAGTTATGCCGGAGTGGAAAGAAAGGTAGCATTGGAAACGATTGAGAGGTGAGAAATCAAGTTGTAGACAAACAGTTGATGTTTTAAAAAATAGTCTATAGCCTAGTCCATACTCATACTGTCATAGGGCATTTCAGACTGTGATATATCAAAATTTAGTGTAGATATAGTCTAGTAATGGTATGCAAACACTGCTGGACTGTAGTATATGCAATGAATATATATACGCTCATTTAGTACATCAGATAAAATGCATTATGTATTCAAGGTATTAGTTAGTATTTAGGGGTATTTTTAAACTCATGCTGCTCCAAATATTATTTTCTTCCTCATTTTAGATACTGTACTACAAAAGAAAACGGCTATGTTCCACCAATCCGACCTAACGCAGGCTCTGATCCCTGCTGCTATCAGTGCTATAAAATGGATTAAACAAGAAGTCTTGAAGCTTAAAGGTATATGAGGATCATAATAGTTGCAAACAGCTTAGATGGGCTATTCATATTGAAATACTTTAGCACTTTTCTGCAATTGGAACTGCCCATCAAATTCATGTTGGAGACTTCATTGAGATTTTCAATTCATTTTTTTCTCTCGACTATGAAGATCTTTTGAGGTTAACGAGGCATTAATAAATAAAGCTGAGGAATTTGAAGAGGATAGAAGAATGTAAATGATACCAGGGCACGTCTATTTAACACTGTCAAACATAAGGATTATACTCTCCACCCAACAATGATTCACTGAAGAAGCATGTGGCCCTCAAATCAGTTCTTGAGTTGGCAAACTGCAAGTGTAAGAAAAATAGTCAAAATAATTTATGAAAGTGTGCCAAAATCAACTTAAATTGCACAGATTTTTGTTTTTGTATTGACTGCAAAAATCACAGTACACTTATAAAGGAAAAGTCGATTTTTGAGATAGTGGATTTCGAAAACAATTCAGAAGAAAGTGAATTAGATATTACAGTTGATTTAATAAGTATCATTTATTTGTTGTTTTTTTCGGACATTTGTTAGTGTCGTAGTCCTGTTTCTAGTAATATTATTGCCTTTGTTCAAATACATAACCACATAAACTAAAAAAAGATTAATTGTAATATTTCTGTTCACTATGTTATGTACATATTGTACATTCATTTAATTTTCTTGACTTTTGCTGTAAATTTCTAAGTGAGAAATAACTGATTTATTTGTGCTTTCGTGCTCACGATGTTAATTTGTGACTTCATTGCTTAAAAATAAATACTTTTGATAGCTTCTATAAAATGGATGTAGCTTTTTATGCTGTTCTTGTTGTATGTAAACTGCTTGTGGTTATTACATAAAATTTATTCGCAAATGTGAATCAGCGTTGTTGGTGTCGCTGCTTTCGAGGTCACTCCCAACTCCTGTCACACAATTAAAGTATTTTTTGTTGTTGGTTACATGTATGCCATATTTTTCGTAATCTACCTAATAAATTATGATTGACTGAGGAAGTCCGATTTTGGTCAGGCAAAACATTACAGGAATACATTTGTGTTAGTGTGCTGTAGGGCTCTCGTATTGCATAGTTCTTATGTATGTGTTGTAAACTTATGGTTATTGAATTTCCGGGAACCTCTTATATTCAATTTCGCACCAGGATTGTGGAACAAGCTGTAATGCGTTCATTATGTTCGTTTTCACACAAAACTGAAGAATTTATTTAGTTACCAGATGTGCGCTACGAAACTCATTTTCTGGGCGTTTTCATGGCTTCGTCTCACGGCCCATATCCGTGGTAAGGATCTGCAAGTGTTTAATAACTTACTTATATATTTTTCAACAACGTCTTAGCATAACTTAACTAATAATAACTAAACAGGGCTATGGAAAGCCTGCCCAACTCAGCGCAAGGTCGAGCAGTAATAACTAATATTCATCCGCTCGCTAACAGCTGGTTTAATTCAATTGTTACGTCATGCAGAAGTCATTGTTCCTTGCCGAAAATGTAGAGAATATAGGACAGATCGTAGCACATATTTCTTGTAGTAAAAGCGTCTTTTCCGTAAAACGTGCAACTTTTGGAAGTGGGAACAAGGCAATATTTGTTATTAAATTTTTAAGGAACATTTTAAAATCATTTTCAGGTAGTTACCTGATGTGCGCTACGAAACTCACTTTCTAGGCGTTTTTCAGGGCCTCGGCTCGCGGCCTAAAGCAATTGGTCCAGTATTCGAAGAGAAAAGCGACTTTTTAAAAACGTGTCAAAGAACAAGAACAACAACAACATAATATTGAAACGATCGTTATGTTCACTACGTGTCCAATAAGTTTCGAGTACATGTATCTGAAACATATATACAAGCCGGTAGGCGTCCAGCATCTCCGCTGATACCCAGGCCCGCGGCATACAGTATATCGCGAGGATCCAATTCATTGACCAGCGTTTAGTTAGGTGAACCACCCACTAACAGCGAGAAGTACATCAAATCCCAAGCAAATAATACTTCCGTATATCAAGAACACCTGCACCGGCTCCTATCCAGTGGTGGGATTCAAATTTCTTGTCAGCCGGTTTCTTCACAAAAGTCATATTTTTCAGTCGGTTCTGTTACAAACAGAACACTGACAGTAACCAGTAATGCCAACCGGTTCGCTGATCTCATGAAATTCTGTGAGACGGTTTTATAAAACCGTTGCGAACCGGCTGAATCCACCCACCACTGTTCCTATCCAATGCTTCCTAAATTCTTGACGTGCGAGCTGAACTGGCAATTCTCCGTAAATCTTTTGATGTTTTGACGGGCAACTTCTTGAAGTTACTGAATAATGTCGGATTACACCCCAGCAATCTTTCACCATCCAAGAAAAATTGCTGACCTTTAACGACAGCGTGCTGCAGTGTTCTCTAACAACATGCAATAACCAGTTACCAGTCCCGCACTCAAGCAACCGGTTACCATGCGATTAGGAACAAGAGAGCAATGCTCAAATATATGGACACGCAGAACAATACCCCAAAAATCATATGCGGTGACCAACGACTAACATACCGGCGGTGACTTACCAGTACCTGTATCGGGGTACCGTGACGGTACAGGGACTGTCATAAATATTTTAGGTCCTGTGACAATTGAAACATCAGTTGAAATATCTCGTGATATGAGTCAATTATGTACCGTATTATCGGATCAGGTACCGAACCACAGTCAAACATTTCAGATAAAAACGTTACTAAATAACATGCGTCAACTTAACACCAGCCGAATCGGGATACAATTTTTGGTACAGTGACTGTCATAGCCCGAAACACTCGAAAGACGTATTTGCGACCGAACGACCAGTGTGCGACCACGGATTTCAAGCCTTGATCATCGTTTCTGCTGCGTCGAGACTATCGCATACGCAGCCATACAGCAATCAAACAGACAAAACACGGTGGTCGCAAATTGGTTGACAATTGTTGGTCTTGTGACAGCGTGAAAACATTGGGCTTCTAATTGCATTTCTGACCGTCATATATTTCAAGAACACGGTTATTTCGAACAAAACTCGTTAAATTATAAACAAAGCACCACATCACAGCAATCAAACAGACGAAAACACGGTGGCCGCAAATTGGTTGACAAAGATATTATCGACGTATCGGAAATGCACACCCCCTATTCCCCCTCCTTCAAACGTAGAAACGCGAAACTTTCAAATATGGTTAAAAGAAACACAACTCTACCCACCTGCCAAGTTTCATCTTTTTATTCTCATATTTGTATGGATTTTCAAGCTTTTGACAGCTACGAGTTAGTTCAGTGTCACCGCGCTGTGTTACGGTACCAGAACTCCTGTCTTGTGACAGCGTGAATTGAAATTGCAAGATGGTTCGTTGGACACAAAATGGCGTCCGATATCAGCAGAACGTTTAGTGACGTCATAGCAAACGAAAACAAATCTTACAGAGCTAACAGAAATATTTGAAATAAATAAAAGTAATAGCCTTCTGGAGAAAAATTTCATCTTCAACCACTGAAAATTTCAAAGCAATTAGTCCAGTAATCAAAGAGAAAAGCGACTTTTTAAAAACGTGTCAAAGAACAAGAACAAGAACAACAACAACAACATAATATTGAAACGATCGTTATGTCCACTACGTGTCCAAAAAGAGCTGGTTACCAAAAATGCTAGTTCATTTAAGACTCTGCGCGTTCCGTTGAGTTCATTTCAAACGCTGCGCGTTCCGTTGACATACTCGCGTGACTGATATACTGGGACTGAAAATAAGAAAAATAATGTTCAGTACTTTGCCATGCGGAGGGTAGCGCTCTTGGAATTTTAATTTTCGACTTGGTTGGCGAGAAATTGTGAAAAAAATTTCATAACGATCGGCGCATTTTTCGTTGTGACCAAGGAAACGAAGCATTTATCTGGACTTTCTATAAAACGCACAATACTAGGGTGACAGGATAACCCACGTGAAAAATTTCATCCAGATTGGTCCAGCCATTAAGACGCTACATCTACATCCACATTTTTTCGGATATAGTGGTGACCAACAATAATATTTTATCCCATACCTGGTACCATAGCTTTGTTAGTTTCGATCAAATACAAATCGTTGAACATAAAATATGATATAAATAAAAATGTAAAATTAATAATGCTACTTTGTAGGTTTGAAGCAGGTAGATGGACAACTAATCAAGCGTTTTATTCTGAGAATCATATATTCAGGTACAATAGACCAAAATCCGGGCATGATACGCCATTGTAAATTAAATTATCGGAAACCCGTTGCTTTCCTGCTGCTTCGGTGTTCGTGTATTTAAGAAATCAGTGCAGTTCAAAATCTCATTTCGAAAAAAAAATGAATATGAAACAAGAGTCCAACGCTACCAATATTTATTAGGGAAGCGCAAATTTGCGAAGACTCTGGATAGTTTTATCTGATAGAAATTAAATAAACAAGCGTCACACCTCTTACGTTTTATATATATATTATTATGTTTCTGTACCTCTCTGGCGTCCTGCATTCTTTGAACTTCTATAGCAATATATTCTTCTATTCTTCTTCTGTCTTCGGCAGATAGATTCCTCAAAACATTCTCAATAGCTTCTCTGTGTGGAACACGATCATTTATCTGTTAAACCAGTGGTTCTTAAACCTTTACAAACGTGTCGAACCCCTATGGCCTATGTTATTCTGCAAGCTTCCGTCGAACCCCGACGTTTTGAACAGTTAAAACCAGGGGCGCAACTAAAACTTTATAAGCGGGGACATAAATTGCAACAAGAGAACCATTAACTCCACCCGGTCATAGGACTAAGTGCATTTTTTGGTTAACATTTTTCTCGAAAATCTCCTCGGAAACATACACTTTGTCGAAATAACCATTGTTATATTTCACAAAGGCGTAGGTGGCAGGGGACTTGTTGCTTTATGGTGTATGAATAACTTGTGTGGGCGGAGAGGGATAGGGCAAAAAATGCAACATTAGAGAGTCGAAAGCTGAAACAATACCCCTAGAACAGAGGTCACCGAACCTATTTGACCGCGGGCCGGGTATGACTCGAACTGTGTTGAAACGGGCGGACAAATATTTTTGTCAATGCAATGCAATAAATTCACAAAAGTTGGAAATCCATTTAATTTATTCAACAATATATATTCTACATTTCTGAAGACTGGAATATCAATATAGATCGAGAATATCCTAGGAAAACATACATACAAAATTTCTATATCTAGACAGCTATCCTGAGTTTAGATGTTATCAAAACGCTAACGTGCGACAATTTCGATGAAGTGTACTGGGATCGATCATAGTCAAAGCCACAAAAACGTATATCTGTGCGCGAAACTACACATAGCTAAGATATTTTATTAGTTGAAGTTTGAATATCTGCTGTGAAATGAAGTTATTTTCAAGTAATTATCAGGTTGGATAACAGAAATAACTTAGTGATATACAAATGTTTTAGAGCAGTGATTCCCAAACTGGGCGATATCCCCCCAACCCCCCCCCCCCGGTGGGCGAAAACGATACAGAGGGGGGGGGGGGAGAAAGTCGAAGGGGGCGATTTCGCAAAACCTGGTTTTGTTTGGCGCATCGTGCACTTGATTACTATACTCTGCGTGTTTTCGTAGGTTTGAAACACATGTGAACTTATCACACGCGAAAGGATTGCTGGACTCGTTTTCACCGTAGGGCAAGGTAGTTTGCGTATCCCAGTGGTCAGCAAAATACGGCAGGAGTAAAATAATCTGGCCCGGAACGCTTCGCTGGATGAATATTTCCCCGACCTTCGACCCCGGAAAATTCTTCCTATACTTTGCCATTTCAAAATTTTCGGTGCTTATTTTAGGAGTGGTTTCGCGAGTTGTCGCCTGTAAAATGGGGTATTTCAAACTATCGTTCTAATTTATACCATTCAACAATCTATTTTTTTAAATTACCGGTAAAGAATTTTAGCCTAGTCTATCACAGCTATTTCTACTCTAATTTTTGATTACTGCAATTAAACTGAAACTCCTGGGCAGACAAAGTGATCATTGAATTATTCGATTTTTATTTAAATTACGAAACACAACTAAAAACAAATGAATATAATTCAAAAACCGAGAAATTGAGGTAATGTTTACGACCACGCATGAAAATCTGTCTGAGCGAGATAAGCGTCTGAGTGGATGCAAGAGGGTGCATTCTTACGTTTATTTTTGCATCTTGCTGATTGGCCAATGTCACGAAGTAAACAAGGAAGTCTATACCCGGGGAAACATTCAATATACAGACAAAACAGCGTTTTGACGATGAATCAATTTTATTTATAATATACGCTCAAGGAGTAAATTACATTTTTTACGTAACAGAATTTATCGTGAGACAAGTTTAGACTAAATTATATTATATCCTAACAATTTAGTGAACAGCTACTCGTTTAACGAGCCTACAATTCAAATACAATTAGACAAATGGCAACGCGCAGAAAAGTTGATGCTGAGTGCAGGGGTTCAATATCGCAGTAAATATTCAAATATATTGCAATGCAATGGGGAAATAAAATTTATATTCTATTCGAGAGATTCATCACTGCTTAATTTTTGTAAGAATGTAACTTTTTGAGGAAAATCTTTATCAAAATTTCACAAACCATGCGAAAATATTCACTTCGATGTTTGGATGTACATATTTGTGCCGCTTGTGCGAGCAACAATTTTTGAAAATGAACATTACAAATAACAAGAGAGCTATGCTCAAATATATGGACACGAAAAATCCATCTTCAATCGCTGAAAATTTCGAAGCAATTAGTCAGGAGGGGGAATAGGGGGGTGCGCATTTCCAATACGTCGATATTATCTTTGTCTTTGCGACCGCCGTGTTTTTGTCTGTTTGATTGCTGTGATGCGGTGCTTTGTTTATAATTTGACGAGTTTTGTTCGAAATACAGAAATAACCGTGTTCTTAAACTGTATGACGGTCAGAAATGCAATTCTCGACGCAGCAGAAACGATGTTCAAGACTTGAAATCCGTGGTCGCACACTAGTCGGTCGCAAATACGTCTTCTGAGTGTCGTACTTTGGTGGTTTATATAGAGGACTTGCACGGGTCACGTGACTTTGTTACTGGACGGCAATAAAACAAAAACGTCCATTTGGGCTCCTGTCAGTTGCAAGTCGGATTATACGTTTCCGTTTTGTTTGGCTGTTGAAAATTGTTATTTCGTATTGTTCCGTTGGCCTCACGTATAGTATAGACAACGAAATGGATCTTCAGTTATAGAGAACTTGCACGGGTCACGTGACTTTGTTACTGGACGGCAATAAAACAAAAAAGTCCATTTGGCTCCTGTCAGTTGCAAGTCAGATTATGCGTTTCCGTTTTGTTTGGCTGTTGTAAATGGTTATTTCGTATTGTTCCGTTGGCTGTACATATAGTATGAACAACGAAATGAATCTTCAGTTATATTCCACTGATTTCAAAAGATCCGGAACGTCGCGCAATGTGGATATCATCTATTGCCTATTGGCAGAACTGCTTGGTGTCAAGTCCAGAAGCCATCTTACTTGTGTTTCACTGTTTGCGGACAGCACCTCGTTGATGGTGAGTGATAATGTGGTGATAGTGTGCCGTTATCAATTTCTTTAAATATTCACAAGCTCCCTCATTTCAATGGAAAGCAGATGGCAAACTACTGTTATTAGTAGGCCTAGGCGTGGGCCTACTTGCAGTTGCAGACTTGACTTGTGTAAGACCATAAGGAATTAATAATCAATTGCTATAAGGTATTGTTTCCCTAAATAGCAGGTAATCTATTACTAAGTGTGAAAGGTTGAATAGATAACTAAAGTTTAACACCAGTGGTCATGCAAAAAATAACCAGAATTCAATTGAATTCGCCATCTAGGAATACGCTCGCTACCGCATCTCTGATCACCCTGGTAGTTTCACAGGTTTCAATCCCATGCGGGGATAGTTATGTGCGAGAGGATTGCAGCTCTACTCCCACCGAGGGTGGTTCACATGACCGCTGATCGGTTACGACCATTCCCCACCATCCAAGTCCATGCTTCTGAAAACAAATAACTGGCTCCCCCCCAGATAAATCCTATCCTAATGGTGCTTGTACAACTGATCCAAAATGTCTTGCTACCCGGAATCAAATTCATTTACGACTAGTGGCTGTGGTGAGGAGTCTAAACTTTTATTTGAGCTAATTTGCAAATGGTATTCATGGTACCAAATGTATCACACACTTTACAGTAATTATGAATTATATTTGAAAAATAAAGC